CCAACTCACAGAAAAGAGGCCGGGCTCAGTGGCTCAGCCTGTAATCCAAGCACTCTGGGAGGTCGAGGTGAGTGAATTGCCTGAGCCTGCGGGTTCGAGACCCTCCTGGGCAACTTGGCGAGCCCTCATCTCTACAATAAATCAAAAAAATTAGCTGGGTGTGGTAGTGTGTGCCTGTAGTTCCAGCTACTTGGAAGGCTGAGGCGGAAGGATCGCTGGAGCCCAGCAGGTCGAGGCTGCGGTAGCCGGGAGCGGCCACTGCACTCCAGTCCGGGCAACCGAGTGAGACTCCAACTCAAAAAACCAAAAAAGAAAAGAAAGCAGTGCATTTCATGATAATTAAGATTTTTTTGGAGAGAAGATTTTTCCTCTTTGATATTCATGTATCAGTTTTTCTTCTGCTACTACCCCAATTCCTCACCACTGCCATTCAAAAGAAGGAGAAAAATTAATCTGGAGGTAAAATTACCATTTGAGAGAGAAGTATAGTCATGAGTCACTTAACAATAGGGATATGTTCTGAGAAATTTATCATTACTTGATTTCATCATGTGAATATAATAGTGTGGCCAGATGTGGTGGCTTACACCAGTAAACCCTGCTATTTGGGAGGCCAAGTGGGAGGATTGCTTGAGGCCAGGAATTCGAGAACAGCCTGGACAACATAAAAAGACCCTGTCTTCAAAAAAATTTAATAATTAGCTGAGTGTGGTAGAGCGCCTAGTCCTACCCACTCTGGAGACTGAGGTTGGAAGGACTGCTTGACCAGGAGTTTGAGGCTGCAGTGAACTATGATTGCACCATTGCACTCTAGCCTGGGTATAGAGCAAGACCCTGTGTCCAAGTATACATATGTATATATGAGGAGGTACCAAAAAATATCCCGGAATTGTCTTTTGGAGGGCAGACCCCGTGTTGTACAGGCTTCCGCCATTAGGCTAAGTATTCTAGGAACCCATTGGCATTAGTGTACCAGCTAGCAGCTTCAGTGAATTTTTTTTTTTTTTTGAGATTCTTTCAGTGCGTTTGCCCATTTCATGATGGGTGATTTACAAGCGCACCTGCTTACACTGTGCTGAGTGTTCAGCAGTTTTTGACCAAAAGCAGCATAACCCCTATGCCCCACCCTCCCTGTGCACCTGATCTCGCCCAGAGCGACCTTTTTTTTTTTTGTTTCCCCAGATGAAAAAAGTTCTCAAAGGGAAACATTTTGCCAGTGTGGAAGAGATGAAACAAAAAACTGCAGAAACACTAAAAGGCATCAAAATTGACAAGTTCAAAACACTGTTTTGAGCAGTGGAAAAAGCATCTCGGTAGGTGTATTGCATCAAACAGAGAGTACTTTGAAGGTGACCAAAGTTTAAACATGAAAGGATAAATACACAATTTTTAATAAATAAATTCTGGGTTTTTGCCCCCCCATACATGCTTTTGAATAATGAGATCTTTTTTTTTTTTTTTTTTTGGGAGCTGGAGTCTCACTGCTTCACCTAGGCTGGAGTGCAGTGGCATGCACGCTCATGGCCACGCCAGCATTGACCTTCTGGGCTCCAGCGATCCTTCTGCCTCAGCCTTCCGAGTAGCCTGGAACTACAGACATGTACTACCACGCCTGGCTATTTTTTATTTTATTGTAGCGATGAGGTCTCACCAAGTTGCCTGGACTGTTCTCCAACCCGCAGGCTTAGGCAATCCACCTGTGCCTCAGCCTCCCAAAGTGCTGGGATTACAGGCTGAGCCACTGAGCCTGGCCAATGAGATTATTTTATAGCTGTTTTTCTTCTTCAATGAGTGTGATATAGTAAAATATACTATATTGTAGGTAATTATGCAAATAGAATATTATGACTCAAATATAAATGTAAACACTAAGTGTAATAAGCATAAGGATATAAAATGTGCCATGACTGGGCGTGGTGACTCACGCTTATAATCCCAGCACTTTGGGAGGTGGAAGCCATAGGATTGCTTGAGCTCAGGGGTTTGAGACCAACCTGAGCAACACAGTGAGAAAAACATTAGCTGGGCATGGTGGCACACTCCTGTAGTTCCAGCAACATGGAAGGCTTAAGCAGAAGGATTGCCTGAGCCAAGTAGGTCGAGGCTGCAGTGACTGTGAGTGTGCCACTGCACTCCAGCCTGGGCAGCAGAGTGAGACTCTGACTCTAAATAAATAAATAAATAAAATAAAATGTGCCATGAAGAAATGGATTCATGTTTCATCCACCCTAGTATTTTGTCGAACAGAAATACCTAGAAAATGTATCAGGATTCCTGGTATCACTTGTGAAAGATTAAAAGAATTTCATCCCAAATCCCAGATTTCCTTGACAATAATACATCTGGTACCTGTATTCATTCATTTGGACTTTTATTTTATTTTATTTTTTTAGCATCCTTGACCTACTGGGCGTAGTAATCCTTCTGCTTCAGCCTTCCAAGTAGCTGGAACTATAGGCATGCGCCACCATGCCCAGCTAATTTTTTGATTTATTGTAGAGATGAGGTCTCAAATTGCCTGAGGTGGTCTCCAACCCATGGGCTGTTACCTTGGCCTTCCAAATTCTGGGATTATAGGCGTGAGCCACCGTGCCCAGCCTTATTTTATTTTAAAAATTTTTTAATAATAGAGATGAATTCTTGCTGTGTTGCCCAGATTGGTCTGGAACTCCTGGGCTCAAGCGATCCTCCCGCCTCAGCCTCCCAAAGTGCTGGGATTACAAGTGTAAGCTGCTGCACTTGCCCTCATTTGGACTTTTTTTTTTTTTTTTAAGTAGGAATCTCATTCTGTTGCCCAGGCTGGAGTGCAGTGGCACACTCACAACCAACACAGCTTCAGTCTTCTGGGCTCAGGCGATCCTTCCGCCTCAGCCTTCCCAGTAGCTGGAGCTACAGGTGTGTTAACTACAGATTAATTTTTTAAATTTATTTTAGAGATGAGTTCTTGCCATGTTGTCCAGGCTGGTCTCGAACCTCTGGGCTCAGGCAATCCTCTTGCCTCCGCCTCCCAAAGTTCTGGAATTACAAGCATGAACTACCACACCCAGCCATTTGGGCTTTTAAAAATTTAAAAATAACTTCTGACTAAATCCCTGTTACTTAGTGTGATAATGAATTTCATTTTTACTACCTGATACAGTAATTAATATTTCCTTTTATTATCCAAGTTTACAATAATTTTCAAACTCCTGCAGGTATTTTGCAATTCTCTCATTTGGCAGTTTTGTGAATATTCTATGTTAAACTTTTTTTTTTTGAGTTGGGGTCTCATTCTGTCACCTAGACTGGAGTGCAGTAGCCGCTCCCAGCCACCACAGCCTCAACCTGCTGGGCCCCGGCGATCCTTCTACCTCAGCCTTCCAAGTAGCTGGAACTACAGGCGCACACTAACCACGCCCAGCTGGTTTTTGATTTATCGTAGAGATGAGGTCTCGCCAAGTTGCCCAGGTGGGTCTCGAACCCACGGGCTCAGGCAATCCACTCACCTCAGCCTCCCAAAGTGCTGGGATTACAGGCTGAGCCACCGAGCCCGGCTGGAACCTATATATATGTATTTTTTTGAGTCGGAGTCTCACTCTGTCGCCCAGACTGGAGTGCAGTGGCGGCTCCCGGCCACCGCAGCCTCGACCTGCTAGGCTCGTTTTTAAGTCTTGTGTCATTATACAGTTTATTTAAGAGGCAGACATTAATTGTATTCTGCAGCATCTGTATGATAAAAACATTTTCACAGCCGGGCATGGTGGCTCATACCTATAATCCCAGCACTTTGAGTGGCCAAGGTAGGAGGATCACTTGAGGCTGGGAGTTTGAGACTAGCCTGGGCAACATAGTGAGACTCCATCTCTATAGAAATTTTTTTAAAAAATGAATCTGTTGTGGTGGTGTGTGCCTATACTCCCAGCTACTAGCGTGGCTAAGGCAGAAGGATTGCCTGAGTCCAGGAGGTGCCTCTGCACTCCAGCCTGGGCAACAGGATGAGATCCTGTCTCAAAAAAAAAAAACCCACTATAAAATACCTTTTTTCAAAACTGTGTGTGTGTGTGTGTGTGTGTGTGTGTGTGTGTGTGTGTGTGTGTGTGTGTG